TCCATGTTATTATCCAAAATGAGGCCTATACTTCAAAAACTTGCAGCTGGTGTGGGAGCGTTCAAAAAATAGGAGGGTCCGAGATGTACAAGTGCCGAGATGGCGCTCGGGGAATCTTCCTCCGGGCATTGCTTGATGGAACCTTGATTCTCTCCGGAGATCATGCAGTGATATGTTACAATCCATCCGGTGTTATTTCTGGCTAGGGATTAACCAGAAAGGCGCCCAGAATTAAGATTTTTTATTACAATATACAGTATTGATCATTACTAGTAATTATATTGTCTTTCTAATTAGCATAGTTGAATAAATATCATCGTTTTTCGACAATCTACTTTCAGTTAACGGTGCAATCGGTTTACCTTGTTATTAATATTAACCACAGGGAATGTTCAGACGTAAATGTTTATTCCTGTCAATGATCACATATCCTCGACTGACCATCGGTATGCCTCAACTTCTATTGCTTTACGAGCATTCTGTCGAGCGAAATATTCTCTCTCAAAACCGTTGGATCTATCTGGTATGAATGCACCAGATATTAGAGACTTCTGTGAATAACGTTACATCGGGGGACGCGAATACCTTACCTACACCATCCCATCGATACCCAGGTTGTATGCCAAATCTATTCGGTGGCGCTGGTGTTCCTTGATATTTGGGAATGTTTCTATCTTTGATTTTCTTTGTCTTGAAATAAATAATGATGAAGACACAAATTGTCCGTAAATACGTTGAATGTATCATTAACTGGCAACAATTACTCTTAAACCTTCTTTACTTTTGGTAAAAATATAGCAGCAGGATCGTTCCAACGTTCTCGTGCTTTCAGCTCTTCATTTAATTCTGCGTCGTCTTTGTATCTGCACAAACCAACAAATTGTAAACAGATAAATCATATGCAAATACCATTATGGACAAAATCAAATTACGTATAATAGTAAATCACCTACATTGCCAAAGGCTTATCCTTCATACTACGTTCTTTCTGCTTTTTATCTTCGTTACCCCATTTTGCTCGCTTTTCCTCTTCTTCTATTTTCTTTCTCTCTGCTTCACGTTTCGCTTTCATATCAATTTTTCTACCTTTACTCAACCAACATTTTTATTAGTTTACATTTGATCTTGTCAACCCGGCAAATGAACGTGCTCCACAGTACTCACCATATTTATCACGATGCACGATTTCAGCATTGGCCCCAGTTTCGTAACCCTTATTATGCTCATCGCGTTTTCTTTTCCGTTTATCAAGCATTTCCTGCAATTGATCTGCGGACAGCAGTCCGGCAGGTAGTCCAGAGGACATGCTAGGCTTTGATTCAGAGACATCTAATTCAAGTAAATTGTTTGTTTGTGAGTGTCAACGAGAACAACTGAGCGATGGCAGTTCACTTTCATATAACAATTGTCACACCTGAAGCGGGTTTCTTATCCGCAGGAGTCTCTTCCTCAACTTCACTCTTAATGGGTTTCCAATTACTAGTATTTTTATTATCTTCTTTGTCTTCGCCCTGAATGGGTATCCATTTAGAGGCCTTTTTAATCTCTGCATCTCCCTCCTCATCTTCCTCGTCTTCAGGATTGACAGATTTCCAGCCAGGAAAGCTGTCGTCCCACTTGTCTTCAGGCTTGACGGATTTCCAACTATTTGTTAAGTCATCGTCGTCTATTATAGCATAATTTCCCGTAGATTGTCCTTCAGTTGTGCTAATCGGTTTCTGCTTCTTCTTCTTCTTCTTCTTTTTTAATTCGTTGGAAGTGGAAAGCGTTGCTCCATACTTTTTTTCAAGATATTCTTCCAAGCCCGACATTTCCAAAGTCAGTGTCTGCTTTTTGCTACACCATAGTAATAGTAATACCTGTCATCTTAACCCGTGACACCAGCCAACTTGTTTAAGTTCTTTTAGATAATTTTAGCAGAGTGATTACATCACATTGCATTACCAGCAAAAAAAATTATCTTTGCAAACTTGACACACGCACACACAATACACACACAGCACACACACAAACACACATATACGAACGTAATCGAATGCTAGCGTCGTTTTCTCAGGAATTCAGAATAGAAAAGTAGTAAAATGACTGCGGGTGGGTAGAGTTGTTAGTTTAGAGGGAGCGACTTGTGTGGAGCGTTTGTCATTTATTTGAAGAGTATTGCTAACCTGCGGCTATCGGATTTGTGTAGTTAACTTGGACCTCGCAAACGAATTACAAGAAACAGTTATTGTAGATAAAGATGAGGATCCTGAGGAAGCTAATGATATTGACTCTGACGAACAGTTTACAGCCATAAACGAGAATCCAAGTGGTATGAAATCTACAGTAGAACTGGAATATTGTGTCATTTGCATGATTTCTAATATCTTAATAAGTGCTAGGATAGCATTCGAATAGTATTATGCTCGTCGGGTGTCATTCTTATTATGTCTTCTTGTTTTCTAATTTGTAATTCATTCTTTCAATGAGACCCAGATGGTCTTGTCGATGACATGGATGAGGACGACTTACTCTTGGACGAGTCTTTATCACCACTGGAGAAAATTTTCTTATTTGCAAAAAGTGACTTAATTTTTCACAGGTATAATCATCGTGTAATATATGTGTGTGTGATTTGCTGTTTTTAATCCTTTTGTTGGTATTCCTAATATTTCAAATTGATGTTTCTTCTTAATGAGAGTGTTTATTGCGAAAGAATTACCAACGCTAATACGAGACATTGAGATAAGCGAAGCGGTAGAGTATGTAGTGCCGTTAATGAATTCTCTCGGTACTGATCCAGGCAAGTTTACATTCATTCTTTTGCTGTTCATGTACTCTATTCATTCGACATGCCATTTTAAAATTTCCGTCGTTTTTTAACAATACCCGAGACATGAATTGCTAACGAAGAGTCTAATATATTATAATTCACAGAGGAGTTGGTTAAGGAAGCATTCGCTCCAGAGTTAGATAAGATTATATGGTTTTATTACTCTGTAAGTACCCAAGAACTATAGTGGACTAGACGATAACGTTCTGCAAACACTGCCTTTGCATGACCCGTCCCATGCACTTTCAAGTATGTATGATTTTTTTAATACCGATTCTTCCAATTTAGCACTGCCCACTACGGGAATTATCACCAGAGAACGGATTACCCGAAACACCTTCAATCCCATTACGACCACAAACGCCTCTCGGCAGACCTCAAACACCCTTGGGCAGGCCTCAGACGCCTCTCGGCAGACCACAAACACCTCTCGACAGACCTCAAACCCCTCAGACCCCCAACGAATCCTCTAACCAGCTTTCTCTACCATATCTTTCAGTGTCCGCATTCACGCCTCTCCTCCACGCATTACTTCTCGACCAGAATAGCAACGTATCTGCTGCTGCGCAGTCTGTCGTGTATTCACTTGTAGAGAAAATACTTGCAGAACCAGACATAAATCCCAAGGAGAAGGAATTGTTGACGAAAGAGACGTTAGAAGAAGTGGTATTGGGAATCGGGAGGTTGGATCAGGAGAGGAGTAAGAGAGACGATGAGGGTGATTTGGATAGAGGAGATGACAACAGTCTCGGGGGGATGAATGGTGGTGAAGAGGAGGCCGAGTTGGGGAGGATGATCATGATGACGGTGAGTAATGAACATACGCTTAGACGGTAGAGTCGTTTTATTGTTAAAATTAACCGTATGTGATATACTCTTGTCAATAGTTAATTGCTTCTTTGGCGAATCTTGTTGGACCTGAGTTATGCGTTCGTTTATTCGTGCCGGAAATGGATCGGATGATTGAGGAACCAGAATTTTATGTCCGAAGGGTAATTATTATATAATGACATACAACGTAACCTTGTGATTTTCTTTCCTTGTGGATTTTTTATTCATTACTTACGCTATTCGACTCAGGAAGCAGCCCTAGCAATAGGAGGCTTGGCAAACGTTGTCCCACTAGATGCAATAATTGACAAACTGGTAACTATTCTAATCCCCTTTACGCTTGTATCTTCTCCCTCACTCCCTACTTTTTGTCGTTATTTGTTGTCCTTTTCTCTCACAACATTAAAAACCCCAGACTTTGTTGATTTTGGGATCTAAAATCAACACCTGAATATTAATATTAATAAACCAAGTTACCCATATACGACCATTTCTCAACCGATGCTATATGGCACGTCCGTCGCTCGTGTTGCTTAGTATTGCCGAAGCTGTGTTCGCGACTACCTGATGATATGAGGGCCGAAAGGGCTGTGAGAGGAATCGACCTGTTTGCGAGAGATGTCAGTAAGAGCGTGAAGTCGACAGCTGGAGAGATTATCGGGGAGTTGATTACGACGTTCCAGGCGAGTGGGAAGGTACCGGAGAGTTTGGTTCAGCATTTCCTGAGCCTAGGCCCCGGAAGAGATACGACTGGTGGTAGTGGAAACGCGTACGGTGGCTTGGGGGCAAGAGACCCAGAAAAACCTGCACGATGTGCCTATAATTTTCCTGGTGAGTTGACATTCAATTCGCAGTACTCGTTCGACTTTATATTAAGTGTCTTTCTTCTTTCCAGCAATTGTATTGACTCTGGGTCCAAGTCGTTGGGATGACCTTAAAGAGACTTATTCATCTCTAACAAGGGATGTGCAGGTGGGTATGCAATAAGATTTTCATTAATAGCTGTTTGTTCTCTCCACTTTCGTACGAATAGCTAATTTCTTAATTATACACCACATGTACCCGCCTTTTATAAGGTAAAAGTCCGTCGCTCACTAGCTTGCTCGCTGCATGAAATAGCCCGGGTAATCGGACCCGAGAAAACTCAGCAAGATTTAATGAGAGTGTTCGTAGAATACACACACGATATCGATGAAGTGAGATCTGGTGTTCTCAAAAACATGGTTGCGTTTATTGAAAGCTTACCAGAAAGTTCTAGGAATGAATATCTTCCAGAAATTATTCGTGTATGGAATGGTGTCGAACATCAGTGGCGGCTCAGAGATGAAATTGCAAAGTAGGTTCATCAAGTTGGTTGTGGATTTAAAACAGTTAATATGTTCTTATCTAACCTTATTGAATGCTGTCTTATATTAGGCAATTACCTGCCTTGTGTGAATTATATGATGCGCAACATGTAGTTAATCATATACTACCACTGACCATAAGAGCTATTCAAGACAAAGTTGCAAGTGTACGAGAGACTGCAGTGGCCACCGTAAGTTCATTATTCATTTTGTATTTGCTAAGAATTTTCCCTCTTGCTAACATATATCCTTACCGTATATCAGTTTTATACTTTATTTCGTACGGCAAAACATGATGACACTTGCTATAACCAAGTAAGAGATCGTGTAAAACAGTTTGCAATGGAATACAGATTTCGTGAGCGAGTGTCGTAAGTTATCACACAAGATTGAAATTACATCAAGCTTCCGTAATGGGCACTTCAATTAATTCCATTACTTGGATACTAGATATGTTCAGATATGCTCGGCTTTGATGTCAAGTGATTTCCCCAATTCTGAATTCGAGACACATTTTCTGCCCATTCTAGAAACACTTGCGTCTGATCAAGTAGTGAATGTTAGAATAGCAGTAGCGAGGCTTGTGTCCGATCTCTGTAAAACAGGCAAGCCATTAATTTGATAACTTAGCATGCCATATTGTTATTTCTTTTGAATTCTTATTCTTATCACCATGCCTGTCATTGTTCTTCTCGCCACTATTTTTATTCCTACGTACAGAAGCCTATGGAAATATTCAAACCATCAATTCATCTAATCCAATTCTACCGTTGATACAAACTTTATCCCGAGATACTGACGTGAACGTCCGCTTATTTGTATTTCCGTTTCTCTCACCCGAAGAACGCGAATCTATTCTCTCATATCTCCAGCCCCAGAGTTATGGGTCTTATTTGTATGCAGAGAATTCAAGAGCTAATCGACAAGTAGATACAGATATGGATGTTGATAACGGTGATGAAGAGGACGATGAAAGGAGCGGCGATGGAGAAGAGGATGATTTAGGAGGTTTTGAGGATGTAAGGAACGAGTTGGAAGAGGTGGATGTAAGGAATGAGTTAGAAGAAGAGATTGATATAAGAGATGAGATAGTTGAAGTAGATGTAAGGGATGAAGGGGATGAGGTGGATGTGAGGGATGTGAGGGATGAAAGAGGAAAGATGGACGTGAGGGATGGAAGAGATGAGGCGGACGTGAGGGATGAAAAAAATGAGGTGGATGTGAGAGATGAGATAGGAGATGTGGAAGTGAGAGAGGAAAGAGAGGTGGTAAATGTTATAATGACAACTTCGAATAAACTGCAAAGCGATATATTAATTCGCTCTGCAGACTGCTAATAATTAACATTACATTGATCGAGGGCGAAATGTTTGTGTAAATGTTTGTGTCGCTATGAAGAGTTCTGTCACCAACAGACTGAAAAACGATCACATCGTTTACCATAAATTGCACTCCGGAGATCAAACATACCCACAATACTAAGTGACACGGTCGACAGACAAGAGGGTGTTCGAAGGGCTGGTGTCCCTCGTCAGATTCATATGAAAGCACATATTTGGGCGTCTCTAAATACAAGCAAGTCTTACGTGGGATGGCTGAAAAGTTCTGATCGTGTATTTTTATTTAGACAAATCCAATAATAATCAACAAAGTAATCATGACATTCCTTCAAAGTACTCTCCCCCTACTTCTATACATTTTTTCAGCCGATTCTTCCAACTATCGAATGACTTG